TCCAACCGTATGTGCACCTCTCTGTGCTGCCTCTCTTCAAGAGCATGCACGTGTGTGTGCTCCTCCTCTCTCCCCTGTACCGGTGTGAGTGAGCGATTGCGTCTGTGTCGGTCAGCATTCCGCTGGTCGTCTCGTAGCGTCTCGCGCCGACGATGTCGATCACGACGCACACCACCACCATGTCCCTTGTTGTACTTGTTGTTATTGCCCTTGTTGTTGTCCTTGATGACGCGCTCCTTCTCCTTGCGCTCGACCTCTTCGAGGTGGCTGTTGAGCAGCTCTGCAACGCGCTTCATGCGGTGGCTGCTCGGGAAGAGGGTGATGCCGTACATCTTTTTGTCGTGCGTCAGCCGCTTGCAGTCCGAGTGGTGGTGTCCGTCGTTGAGGCAGTACTTGCAGTTGATGGATTTACCATTACCAGCCGCCCTTGCGCCCTCATCAACGTCCATTGGCGTCGTGGCCGCACCGACGCCCATGCTCGCGTCTTGCCCAGGCGATGCCCCGATCATCGCTGCAGCTGTCTCGAGCTTGCGCACCCTCTCCATGGCGTCGTCGAGGGTGACGTCGCTCTTGATGATCTTCTCGCTGATCGGCAGCTTGTAGGCCGTCGGCAGCACCTTGATGTAGGCATGCTTGAGCGCTGTGGCCGTGAGCACCTCCTTCTGCGCGTTGACCTTGCCAGCCAGACGCTTGAACTCGGCGTTGTTGTTCAGGGCCGACTTCTTGAGGTCCCAGGTGAACGCGTCGAACTCACGTTGCGCTGAGAACTCGGCGAAGGCGGGGTTGGACTCCATCTTTGCCTTGAGCCTCTTGAAGGCCAGCACACCGTCGAACTCGTCGTAGATGTCCTTGACACCCTCCTCGTATTGCTCGAGGATGTACTTGGCGGAGCTGTTCTTGCAGGCGAAGGCGAGCAGTGTGTGGAGCCGCTTGGCCGCTTGAATGGATGCCCTCAGCTTCTCCTGCTGCTTGTGCATCTGCTTCAGCTCTCCCTCCTTGGCCTCCTTGGTGTACTCGGCGGTGATGACCTTGTCCTCGATCTCCTGCTCACACGTCAGAAGCTCCTCGAGCTTCGTCTGCTGCACCGAGATAGGCACGTGCTCATCGAGCGCCTTGTCCCGCAGTAGGGCCCATTCCTCGAACCCCAGCATGGTGCGGAAACACCGTACCCAATCAGGGTAGTCCTTCTCATCTTCGGAGAAGGTTGGTACATCGCTGGTGCTGAGCTTGATGTAGTCGCTCATGGTGGTCGTAGATCTCGTGGCGGAGCTTGGTCAGGAGGCGAGGGGAGTCGACGGGAGTCGAGCGGCGAGTGTGGGGGTCTAAGGGATGACCGAGGGAGGTCGAATGGACGACGGGGTGACGAAGATCTGGGCAGATCTTTGGCTCAGCAGCGACAGCCACAACGACTTGCTGCGCCCATGTCGGTAGATGAGAGTGGCTGTGGAGGATCGCTGTCGTTGCCCGTTAAGGCAACAGATGAGCCAGAGGGACGGTTCACAAGAAGGAGGGACAGTTTGGAGTGCTCAGGGTTCTCAGCATGCAGTTGCATTACACGGCGGGATCTACCCCAACACAGGCAGCCTCTGACAGTAAGAACCACCGGGAGTTGGGGTCGGCAAGAAACAAACGCAACAACAAAACACAGTCGGCAAGAAAGGTGGAACGGCAAAGCATCAATGAATAAACGAGTGAATGAAAATGAATGAGTTTGTGTGTATCTCTCTCAAGCAGACCGCCTGTCACAGCAGCGTGCAGCAGGTATGCATCGACACGCGCACAACACAATCCATCCAGTGGCACCCTGTCTGTCTGTCTGTCTTTGTACGGGCTTCTAGCTTCAGCATACATACAAAGGGAAGGGACAGCATTAGCTGCAACCCGCATGGGTCAACTGCTTCGCAAGCTCCGCGAATGCTTCTTGGTTGGAAGGGCGTACACCACAAATAAGAAAGGTATGACAGCAAGTCACCTCATCGCGGACCTGATGGTATCTGCTGTTTGCCAGTGTCCGTTGAGTGTCTTCCTCTCCAGGTGCTGTTTCTTGTGTCATGTGCTGTCATCCTTCTCTATGTGGCGACCTCGATGCTGCTGTTTCACTCCTATGCGAGATTCGAGGCACCAACCGGGACGTTCAACGTCTGGGGAGATCTGAATGCGAGGTAGAAGCACACTATCGTCTGCGGGGCTGCACTCCTGCTCGCTTAACTTGAGGCCATGTCTGTAGGACGCCAAGCACCCTTGAGCCATACTGCGACGGCTCTGCGGAAGGGCGAGAGTTTGCGCCTCTGAAGGGAGGGTCGACGGGTGGTCTGCTGTTCGCTAATATCAGCTGCCCCTCACTTAACGCTGCTGACATCTACAGGATAAGCGGCAATGAAGCACTCGTGTTCACTTCCCGCATCACGGCACAAGAGACCGATGGCTGCGCGTCCATTGATGCGATGGATCTCAACGAGCCCATCTCCTCATTCTACGGCAGGACCTATCAGTACACGTCCCCTCTCACAAACGAGACGCAGACCAAGCCGTGTGTTGAGACAACATTTGTCAACGGTACGGTATGCCGACTCGCTGCATGCGCATGTATTGTGGACGCGCGTTACTTAAGGGCGTGTGTGCAGGGGTGGAACAATTCCAGCTCTCACTCATTCACACGATATCCACGTCATTTCTGGGAGGCGGCGAGGAAACGTTCAACATACCCTGCGTGCTGGAGGGCAGTAAGTGCACGCCAGTCAATGCTTAGCCGTGTGTGCTACTTTTTATGTAGTGTGGACACCTTTGGTGCAGCCAATCGTCGGTTTGAAAAGGGCGAGATAGTGAGGTTCACAGTTGGAGACCTCCTGAAGGCTGCCCACAAGACGCTGGACGGTGATCCACAAAGAAGCATAGGACATGGATTTGGCATTTCGTTTCGAATGTGTATATCAATCAACGCATATCTCTGACGCCCCCAAAGACTTGAACCCACAACGGTTTCCCATGGTCCCCGGAAAAGAGGCCCGGTACTTTCTCCGCAGGAGATAACAATGGCATGTGGGGGCGTGGCCTGTGTTTGGGTGTAGGTATCGACACACTGGCGGAGCGCTCTTGCTCACCTTTACGGTACAAGAGTGTTCGTACAACATCATCTATCATTTCTTCTTATCCTCTTTCCCATCCATGTGCTAGTATAAGAACTTCGTCAATCTGAATTTTTGGGTAGCACACCCCTGGCGTACGTGTCCATGAATGTCTTTTGTTGCCTGACAACCCCTCACTCAGGACTTCAGCAAAAGGTGTAGCATCACTGCGAAGATGCAGGAGGGCGTGTGGGGGTTTACTGGCCTGCAGAGGTCGCCCAACCTCGAACAGATGCAATCAGTAAGACCCCCACACTCCCGTGTCACGCTTCTTTGTTGACGCCTGTCCCTTGAGTGGCTTGTGAGTGCAGCAAGTGGAGATGGGTTTTGTGCTGCGGATCTCTTTCGTTGCTGGCGGACGGTTGGGTCAGTTTGACGCCATTGCGCTGATCATGGCACTGGTTAGCGGCGTGGTTTTGGTTTTTTCGGCGGGCATCGCCACGGACGTTCTTGGCCACTTCATCTTTGATAATTGGTTCGTTTGGACACACAATGGTCGGCTGGCACGAATGGGATGACTTACGTCGTGCGTTCTTGGTGCAGGGATGAGGTCATCAAAGATACGTCAGAAGTCAAGCTGCAAATGAAGAGAGGCTTCTCGAGGGGGAAATGTACGCTCGAACAGTGGGATGCACGAAGGCCTGATGCTGCCTGTGCGTGTCACCTATGATGCTGCCTGTGCGTGTCACCTATAGATTCCCCATCGCACAGCAACGTGGAGGACAAGACAGCTCAGCCCTCTCCACACAATGCGGCCGCTCCCCCGCTGCCCCTCCAACAAGAACCCACCAACGCCAACAGCAATGGCAACATGACCCATAGTAAGCAGCATGGAGAGAGTACCAACGGCACATCAGCCTCACCGCCACGGAAGCGCTCGACCGCTGCGGTACTGCCGATCCACACCGGGGAGGTGCAGGACGATCTCGACTGTGGGTTGCACGATGGTGACCATGTGGAAGACGGCAGGGATGGAGCTAGTAACAGATAGATAGATGACACACCTGTCTGACTGGTTCGCTGTTGCCCCGCATTGCACCTGTGTGTTGTCTTCGGTGAGGAGCGCTGGGTTGTCAAGCATATCTATCGCATTGCGTCACTCTATCGCTTGCGCCAGCATTCAGCTCAGCTATTGGGTTAGTCAGAAGTACCGGGTCCTCTGTTTCTGCCTACAAAGGGAGAGAGAAGAGAGAAGCACGCGCGGGGGGATGTAACAGGACTTGATGCGCAAGTTGGACGTGGCATTAGTGTTCAATTTTCCACAACCAAGACGCGTGAGAGTTGAACCTCCTGTGTACTGATTGTGTCTCACCTTGGAGGTATAGCAAATATAGTATGTTCGCTCCCGATGCGAATCAACTCTGCGCTCGAAGCCCTCTCTGAAAGGCCGTGGTAACAAAGTGAACTCCGGCATACATATAGTTTCAGATGTATGCTTGAGGAACGGGGAAAAGAGAAGGTGGCGGTGAAGTAAAGGGGAGAAGAATTCTGTTTGAGAAGATTGCGAATTGATTCCACGGTGAAGTGGATAGTCATGTCAGAGATGAGCATTCAATGAAGATGGAGACTCCGTCATACCGGCGCATGCATAGAAGTCCAGTGCTTCAAAACCGGTCAAAAACATTTTCCTCAAAACCCACACACTCTTTTCTAACTTTTCCTGAAGGAAAGAGGGACTAGGAAAAGTTACAAAGGGTGTGGGTTTCTCAGGATTAATTCATCCATGGGCTCAGGACACTTCAGCCATGTCCCGTGACGAGGGCGTGATCGGCCTCTCTTCTTGAGGATGAGCTGCACATTCTTTTCTACTGTCCGCTCTATAGCTCTGCACGAGGGGAAGTATTCCGTGTTGTTCGCATGTATGGCCTTGCGGCGCCTGATGGCAAGGTTTACTTTCGATGGGATCTCAATTATTGTGATCCTCTTGTGTTTGCCTTTTCTTTGCTCACCTCTCACTCACTGCGTGTGCATGAAGCGGTAGCCAGTTTTCTACTGTCTGCGAAGGCATCGCGTAAGCGGTGGGTTGCGTTGCATCCGGTGCTTCCTTCTCCTGATTTTCTGTGGACTCACACAGACCCTTTCTTGCGTACCCCTTCGGGGGGCCGGGGGGCAAGGTCCCCGTGAGGTTAACGAACGAACGAACGAACACTAGACCAGTGATCGCGATTGGCCACGGAATTCGCTTTCTTGGCAAACGGACTTTTTCTCAGCGTGAAAAGGAGTTCTGTGCTATGT